CGATTTGAGATCTACAGAGGATAATTTACGAGTGAACTATAGCCATAACGGAGAAACAATTTCAAAATATGGACTGAGCACCTCTACACCTTACTCCTTTTGATACCGTTATGTATTTGTTCAAAAAAAAAATTGGTGTTTTTCGAAAATGTTATTATCGATTATCGTCAATGGTATATTCATAGATTTTAGATGTTTATGCGTATTGCCGAATACTTTCATCTTCATACTTTTATCGATAATATTATCGACAATGTTATCGATATGATTCTAGGTGTAATTACCGAAACTGATTTCTTTTTTTAACGAATTAAAAAAAAAAGAAGTAGGTTCTCTATTCGACACGTATACTTTTAAACTAATTTACGAATAAAAAACTAGAAATCAGTGAAAAAATAGTTCCAGTGGCATATTTGAAAACAGAAAAAAAAATTATCAGACTCTACCCACATAATTGGTGCACCTGCTATGAATGTACATATCGCACACCGTCCTCAAAAGAGTCACAACTCAAAATTTGACATTTTTGGGATTATGCGGTAAAAATGTACACATAGCTTTTATTTACCTTACAGCAAAAGCAGGAGCAAATTTTTGTTATAATTTGTTAAAAAAAAAACCTAAGTTAAATTCTCCCTTGCACATGTGATTATCATGTGCTAAGAAATAGTTATTCGCAATTTCTGACAAACGTATTATTTTGAGTTGTGACTCTTTTGAAGACGGTGTGCGATATGTATATACATATGTATGCAGGTATACACACATATATCTATTTAAGTACATATCACAGCATGGTTTTCTGTGCGTCTGTATTATGTACATACATATGTTGATTGAAACTTGTATGCATATATGTATGCTATTTATTATAATTGCTCTCCGTCCCTCTAAACAAGCTCACTTGCGCAGCACTGCCATTTAGCTAAATGTGTAAAGTATAGGGGTGTACTTGAACTACTTCTGGTATATACATATATATATGCATGTATGTAAGTAAGTGCATGCATACACGCAAATGTATGTATATGAACATATCTCTATGATCTATGCATGTTAAATGTCAATATATAACAGTCAATACATATACATATATCTTCAACTAGAAGTTTGTGTATTTGCATTCTTTTAGAGGCCACAAGCATTTATAAGCTTCCTCTAAGTGTTGACAATTATGTTTTCTTTAATTGAATGTTGTGAACACCGCTTATTACAAAGGCAAATAAATCGTAAACGACAATAATTAGAAACTTTTTGTGGATTGTGCGTTGTGCCGGTGGCGAATGACAGGCAACAGGCAATTACGTCGGTCACCGAGGCGTATGAGCATTATTTTTATTTATTGCATTGCCGGTGCCGGTATAACAAATGTATTTACATATGTATTTACATATGTACATAAATATGTATGCAGAGGTAAGCACGCGATTTTCGATTCTATTAAATAGCACCGGTAATTATAACTTTTAACCTGCCTGTTGTCGGACCAACAAATGCGCCCAAGTGCACACGCACACAAATACTTAACCGCAATTACTGTCTTCAAGTTTGTCGTTTTTTTTTTATCCACCGATATACTGCTTGAAATTTTTAACATATGGCGGTAAATTTATGACTGCTGGCAGAAATTCGCGCCATTTGCCACAATTAGACCTTGTTGCCGCATGATGACGCTTTTAGAAAATGCTGCACATTTGAAAAGACATTGCGCACACTATGTGTGTCATTGTTCTTGGCCAAAGTCATATAAAAATTTTCTTTTTAACATACACACACGTAAAAAATAGTATTTCTTTTTTTTTTTTTGATTTTTTCAGTCATACAAATGCAAGTGTACGATTTCCTTTTTTTATATATATACATATTTAATTTTTTAAATTTCAAATTCACAGTTGGCGCACAATAACACGTAAATATACATACATATTTATGAACATATGTGCATTTAACTCGCAATGTCTCGTGTTTGCTGTCTGTCGATTTTGTTATTATTACTATTGCTAAAATGACTACTATAAAATAACGAGTTCTGCTCTTTTAATTTTGTCATTGGCATACATGTTAACAAGTCTATTTGAAATCACATGGCAACCAAAATAAGTAATAAAAATAATCACAAAATATCAAGTGGAAATATGTAAGTAAGTGAATATTACTCCACTGCAGTGGCGTGATTTTATGGCAGCCAACAATTAAATGTTCATTGTCAAAGAATTCTTAAATTGTTGTTACGAAAACAAGTTGAGGAAACTACTGCATAGTGGTATTTTCGATCAGATTGGCGATAAATGCAAACATACACACATATAAACAAACACGAACGAATGACTGAATTAATATGTACATATGTATGCATATTCTCTTTAGATGTCGATAGGTTTACAACTTATTGATAGCAGGAAAAAATAAATATTTGTACATACATATATAGTAAGTATATATACTGTAAGTCATGCCTTGGAGGCATTTGCAATCCACGCCTGCATATAAGTACAATATACACATATTTTATTGATTAATTCACTCCTTTTTTGTGTGATTTTTTCCTCCCACTGAGCAAATTGTGGAAGTCGTGCGAAAACACCCACAAAAATTACATAGTATGCTAACATATAAACGCAATTGATTGTAAATAATACGTGCGGCTTTTTGCATTTAAAAAGCTAGCGAAAAATTAACGAAAAATGTTATAAAGTTAAAAGTTTTTGTTTGACAAAGAAAATGTATACAATGCAGAAAAAGTTAAGATAAAAATTATGTGAAAATGAAATTTTTAATATGGGTTATTAACATTTACATATGACTGTGGGGTGATGAGTCGCACTGGATGGCTTTCTCTCCAGTCCACCTTAATTGTGATCTGTATATAGAATGAGTGCTTCTTAAACGAAAAGCAGCGAGAACTTCCTCTCGATGACTAATTAAAACCAGTGGCAGAATGTTGATTGCATTTCGATGGTCCTCTGTCATAACGGCACGATTAAAAATTCAAAAAATAAAATCCTTTTCTACATCTAAGTGCAGATGCTCTTTTTAAATCGATTAAACCGTATATCGATTAATTGAGCTCTTCCGATTCGATTTTTTGCAGGTTTTTTGTCCATCCGTGAATCGATTTAAAAAATTCGAGAATCGACATTCCATTTTTACTCATTTCATGCATATTGAACTACGGTTTTATACGGTTTATAAAAATTTAAAGAAATTCGAATTTGGGGCTGGTACAAAAAAAAAACATACCATGAGAGAGCATAGACCAAAGAATTCGATGACCTCCGACTATAGAGCTCCAACAAAACTCCAACAAAGACTCCAAAAATTGTAACTCTCAACTTTATGCAAATTTTTATAAAAAACTTTCATCCCTTAATTACTCTTTTTATATTTTTTTAATAACGGCAATTAAGAAATGAAATATGTAAACTAAAAAACGTCCGCATTGTACAAAAATACTTGTACGTTAGTTCCATTAGACTTCTTAAAATAGTGGTTAATTTTGAAGCAAAACGTAAAATTTTTTCTCACTGTTAAAAAAAAAAATAAATCGAAAAATTTTTACACTTACATAAGTTTTCACTAGGTATTAAATGAAAAAATTTTAACCACTATGTTGGGCATTAAATACTACCCGTGTCATTGTGTTTCACATAGAATTTTAAAATTGGCAAACATTTTTGGTCATTTCGTTGCCTGGCGGAAATTTGGTTTAAGAATTTATGGAGTCTCTGTTGAATGGTCATATTAGTGTCTTAGTATAGGAAAACCTTATCTCATACTTTTCTCTCTACCTCTTTAACTCTAGATATTGAAACCGTTATGAGCAATGCATGTGTGCATGTTTTTATTTCGATTCGAATCGATTCAAAAATCGACTTTTTTTATTTCGATCTGCCATCTCTACTGCTGAGTTGATCATGTCTCTAATTCTCGTGTAATCCATGTCTAATGCTTAGCAAAGTAATTAGTAAAGATTACTACAGTAAGTAGTAAGGATTAGACATGGATAAGACAAGGATTAGTCAGGATTTTTTCAAGATAATTTCGAAAATTTTGAAATTACGGCAATTCAAAATTTGTGTAAATAGCTCTACTCTAATAATCAAAGAACCTTCTTAGCAAAAGTTTAATGATATTTAGAGAGCTTTAGTAAACTGAGAGTTAGGGTGGTATGTTTTGGTGATAGGAACTTAGATCGGGTGAGTAAATACTATAACGGGCACTTGAAGTCTGGATCTCGTCCTTAGACAAAAATATCGATAGATACGTCATACTTTAAGGGGTCCGACTGTAAATGCCGAAGATATGACGAAAAATGTAAAAAGGTGACCCCTACGTTCGACCAACAAAAAAATGTTTTTTTCGAAAGTGCCGTGCAAAAAAAAATTAGATCCAGCTGTGCATGGCGATTTTTTTTCTAGTTTTCTTCTTCCCATCAGCGCCTCGTAAGTATTAAATAAGCGTCACTCAAACTCTTTTTTCTTTATTCCTTTAAATAAATAAAATTAAATACATTTTGTGCAACAATGTTATGTCAAACTATTATTAAATATACAAGTAAATAAAAGTAATTGCCTGCCTGCCAACCAAAAGATGGCACACACAGTTTTCACGTGCCGCTTAACTGTGCACACACAAAAATTAAAATAGTAAACAAGACATTTGCACATAAAAGCACACATTTGCGCATAAATCAAAAACTAAATTCGCCACGTTTATTCCAACAAATTGGCAACGCTTCGGTAAACACTATAACCCACAATTATGTATACTCTAGCCAAATCTAACTGAGGCAGTTTGTGGGTAAACAATTCAGCGAAAAAATACAAAAAAAAAATAGTTATTCTGGTATTTAGTGTAAAAAAAAATGAATGATTGATATCTCAAATATTTACATACAACAAATTGCACATGAAAAATTGTTTAATTCAATTATTTTTAAGGCTTGATGTTTATCTAAAAATATTCGAAAGACATTAAATATTTCTACTTTTCTTTTGTAGTTTGCAGCACTTCTTGCCATCTGCATGACACTGGCACTGGTCGCTAGCCAACAGTTATTCCCTTTTCCAAGACAGTTCAACTTTGGTGGTCTGGGATCACCAAATGCGATCCGGGATGCGCGTAATGACCGAGGTAAGATTTGAATTAAGCGAAAGTATAGTTTCCTGTAAGTACAAGTAAATGAATGCCTCTTTTTTTGTTGTTAAAAAATTTAAACTAACTTAGACATAAATATTTAATTCGCCGTATATTTAAAGTTAACTACAGTAAAGAATATGATTAAATTCTGTGCCATTTAATTGGGGATCATAAAGTCTCAATTTTTGATAACTCTTCGAATACCTTGCACAATTATTAGAAACTTTACATATTTTAGATTGACCTGATAATTAAAATATGTTCAAATATTATGAACTAAATGTCTGAACATCGTTATCACTACCGAGACGTTAAAGAGCTACTACGGCTATTTCCAGATCGCATGCTTCACATTTCTTGGACGTACGAACGATCCGAGAACCAATAAATAATTGCCTGGGAGCATTATTTTGTTGCAGCCAAGACACGCGCATGCCTTTGTACAGAAAAAATGACGCCCTGCAATATAAGTAACGTCGAAAAGCTGCAATCACAACAGACTGCCAGCATAATCGACACTTAGACCTGTCCTCTGAGAGCAGTCGTCAACAAAACCATATTTACATATGGACTGCTGAGTGGAAGATCGACCTATCTCGGCAGCCAGCTCGAATACGCTCTATCTCAAAAAACTTTTCAAGAACGCCCTATTTCCGAATTCGTTTCAAAAACTCCCTATCTCAGATGCCGATTCAAAAACGCGCTATATCAGCACATTTTCAATAGCTTTTAAAGTGAGATAGGGCGTTCTTCAACTAAATTCTGAGATAGGGTATTTTTCAATAAAATTCTGAAATAGGGCGTTCTTGAAAAGTTTTTTTGAGATAGGGCGTTTTTGCACTGGCTGCCGAGATAGGTCGATCTTCCACTCAGCTGTCGATATTTTCCGAAATAAAAACAGAGAGGCTGAAATACACGAGTGCGAAGGGCTTCAAATGCTTTCCAACTGACAAAACGGCTTGAAATTTCGCAAAGTGCATTCCTTCCACAGCGACCTAGTGACTGATGTCCAGCATTTATGGAAGGAATATTTTGCACTCTGTTGAATGGTAGTAACACTGCACCCAGCGGAGCAGATGAAGCCGACTGGCGGAGTCGATGTACCTCCGAATCGCCATAACGAGGTACGAATCGTAATTTCGCGGTTGAAAAAAAAAGAAACTCCTGGAGTTGATGGCTTGCCAGCTGGGCATTTTAAGTCGAATATGGTCGGATGAACGTCAAATGTTGGAAAAGATCCGGGAGAGGGCGATCGACGCATACCATTTCTTGCTGCCGAATCGGGGAGGAACTCCGAGCCGTTAACTAACAGCCTTATTATCTATGGATCTCGAATGATAGGCCGCATGAACAATTAGTCTGCAGATGTCATGATCTTTCCTTGCAATTTTGTAACTCCGTTGGACGTCTCGTTTTTGCTATACGACATTGCATTGAACTTGTCTAAGTCTTACATAACTGAGCTTTAACTTGGAGTTAATTTACGAATTTTAGTATAAATCTGATTAATTGTAGCTAAGTTCACAAATTTAAACCAAGGTTTACACCAGTGAGAATCGAGGGGATCTGAAGACAAATAATGGTAGGACTAAATTTCTCCTGTCATCTTGCTTGATGAACGTCCGCGTAATCACGCATCGGAATTCATGTAACATTTGTTAGGCTTTAATGCCAATAGAGTATTATCCTGTCTTCAAGTGCTACCTTGCACAGAGTAGGTCATTGAGAAGTGAAGTTGTTCTTCTGGCGCAAAATCAAGGATATCGACGACAGCTGATGATGTGGCCGATGGAGCGTTCGGTACAAAAATTCTACCAGTCAGCAGACGATGGAACGATGAGCTTTGGATTGACATCAACGAATTAAAAGATCAGATTGAGATGGACTTGACCTCAATGGACATTTTGGATTGATACAGAAGAGTAACGAGGGCGATTTTAGTAGACTCGGCCTAAATCGCTTAAGCCTCGTCGAGCAAGAGGAAGAAGTTCTATAACACTGCCCCCCAAAATTAAATTTTTTAGACCCGTTTAAAAAATTTAAAACGGGAAAAGGGTACTAATTGTATTACATTCGATATTCAAAATTTCGTTGACCTGCGCATTATAAAAATTGAATTCATTTCCCAAAAATTCAAAACGGCCACAAAAGGGTAGATTACTACGAGGAAATTGTCAAAGCAATAATTTTTGCATACATACCATGGGTGTTAAGATGTCACAAAAAATTCATTTTCTTCATGCTCTTTTCCAGACGAATCTTTGCGATTTTAGTGAGGACCGAACGTTTTCATCAGACATCGCAACGTTTGAGACTAGATGCGAGTATCTACTTCTGGACACTTTGTCTTAATCAACGGCACTAAAAACTCTTGGATATTTGACATTTTTGTTTTAAGCCCACAAAGCACATTTTATCCGCCAGTTTGAATTTTTTGAGACTCAAATAACCTAAATAACAAAAAAAAAGTGGTTTCAGATTCGTGACCAGTAAACCGGAAAACCCTAGGATACGAAGTGGATAAAGTTTTAAAAATCAGGTGCAAAATCGTTTCAGGCGGTGTAATAAGTATTGGCAATAACATTAACAGGCATGCTTGATTTCCTTATTTTATGCTTTATACCAGGGACCGAGAATGCGTTCCCGTTGTGGTTTAGTTCAGCATAAGAAAAAAATTTAATATCAAGAATATTCTCGCAAAAGCATCAAACGGGAACAAAAGTATTGAAGGCAGTTTGAACGCGAACAAAATGAGAACAAAAGGTTCGGGAACGTTTCCGTAAAGAACAGCATGCGCACAAACTCTCGGGAACATTTCTCAAGAAGAACAGAATGAGAACGATACTTTCCGTAACGTTTTCATTGAGAACAAAATGATAAAGAAAGTATCGAGAACTTTTTCAAAGAGGATTAAACAAGAAGAAAAGTCTGGGGGGAACATTCTGCTAGAGAGCAAAGGTTTTGAGAACTTAACGTTAACAATGAGAGGGGCGCCTGCGTGTTGGGATGAAAAATCGTTTCAGTGAGAACCATGATTGTTAATACTAAGCCAGAGGACAGCTGAATAATTTCAACTTCTAGATCGTTTAGCATTAGTGTGAACTGTTCGTTTATGGAACAATTTTGCATTTTCTGTGCAAGAAAAGTTCGTGTCTAAGTCTTACGTTCACTTAATTTGCATAGTTATCTTTCCGTTCTTTTTTTATTTATTTCAATATTAAAACATTTCCAACTAATGTAACGCTATGAACGAAATGTTGTTCTCGCTTCCATTCTTCGCGAATAGTTCAGAGAAGCTTGGGAAACAAAGCTTTGTAAATTGAGATTAGTCATATAACCCATTCACTGTAGCCCAAACTTTTCACTCCTTACTTCGTTCTACGTGTATTTATAAAGAAATCAATACTCTTTTACGAATCTGAAATTCGTATGACCTTTTATTGAATATGTTAGCTGCCTAGACACCTGTGTGGCGACATGGAGTAGTGGAAGGTCATCGTTTGGTTCATCAGATTAGATTACGCGTAGTTAAATTGAAAAAACCACTAAAGCCATATTAAAGAATTTGTATGTTTACTAAGTAAATCACTGATTTGTATGTACTCTACAGTTATAATTCTTCTTTAATTTTTTTTATTCTTTCTTTTTCCCTACAGGCCCCGTACTCTTCCCACAATCGCCACCAAATCCCTATGACGAGAGCAGCGGAGTGATCGTTGGCGCATCCGGCTACGGTTTTGTGCCACCACAAGCACAGAGTAAAATTTTATAAAATTTAACTACATACTTACATATGTACATACATAGCTAGCTATAAATATTGGTACTCTCTAACTAACAATCATATTCTCCTACCAAAACCATATTCCTCAAAGAAACTTTCCGCCTCTCCACTACCAAAAATGAAATAGCAAATGCATAAAAATATTTAGTATTTTTCGTAATTTAAAAGTCAATTATAGCAAAAGAGAATTGCAGTCGCACTAAGGACAAAGAAAAACAAAAGCTTTATTACTTTAAATACTACACTTATGTACATACTTACATACATATGCACATATATACAAATTAATAAGTATGTATTATTGTTTTTTTTTCTATTCGCTTACCTACATTGTATATGCTCATAAATAGGGTATTGTATTTGAAATGAAAAGCAATTAGAGCACTTGTGGATAGTCGTGCGAAACGAAACGAAATATTACTTAAAGAACAATTGCACACATACACGCAGATACACTTACATATATATCTACATCCGTATTTTTAAACCAATTAATTGCCACAACATACAATTTAAATTAATTAATCAATATTTCACAATCATTGTTTTTGTTGTTTTCAAACAGGGTTCGGACGCGGTTAAGCATAAAGTAGGAATGAGTCACAAAAGCCATCGCCAAAGCCAATATTAGCAGCATTGCAACACGCTTACACACACAAACACACAAATATATCCGTATATTCATATGAATAAGACAAATACGATAGTTTATTGAAATACCGCAAATGCTTCTACACACACACACACACACATACAAACATTCATACGCATAAGCCTTGCTTCGAATGTACGCCAGTTTTTTTTTGATTGCTAATTAAGTTTTAAATAAATTATTAATGCACTGATTAACCGCTAAACTATCACCAATGCAAGAATAACAATAACAACATGCACAGCACAGCACAGCACAGCAAGCAAACATAAGCGACAGCAGCGGCGGGCGTACATAGAATGTCAACAATATTCACTGGGAATAAATAAATGTGTAGCAAAAAATCTCGTAAAAACAAAGAATATACGAATTAAAATAATAATTGGTTTAAAATAGGAGTATATTTAGAAATAAACACACTTATGTCTCACTGCAAGCGGAAGCGAAAATAGATGAATTTTTTTTCTAATAAATTAAATAATCGTATGCATTAATATAAGCACAAAAACAAACATCACCAGTCACTTAGCAAATAATGCACAAGCAGTCATATTTACTAAAAATTAGTCATCAATATCTAATGTTAACATTTTTTATTTCAACATTTTTATTTTATTATACAAAAATTTCTTTAAGTTTTCGTTGTGAAGTAATGTTATTGAAAAATTCAAAATTGTTAAACATAAACAGAAAATAAAACCAAAATTTATTTTTAACTAAATAAAATTTTAAATTATCTAAAATTATGTTATGTATATAGCTGGTAATTTTTATGTTTAACTAATTTAAATGCAAATTTTTTTTAAAGCTTCTTTTAATTTCGTATCGTAATTGTCAGATGTATTTATAGAAATTAAAATTTGTTTGTTTTATTTTTATTTTTTTGTTTTTATAATTTTTTATTTCACCTTTGTAAATTTTAGGTTTTGTTATATTTGTTTTGCTCGTTTAATTTATTATTTAACACATAATTTTTTCACTGTATATGTATAGCAAAATTATTAGCATAGTTATTAAAAAAAAAATAAAGATTTGTAATGCAATAAAAATTCGAATATTTTTCTTTTTTGTGTGGCTTCTGTTTTTGATTATTCAAACATTAGCTACGCAATAATTGTCAAAGCACAATTTGTTTTGCACTGCTTACTTTTGCCTTGAAAAGCCACTAACGAGCTGTAAAGACAACAATTAAAACTGATGTTACACACTTAAACGCATGGAATGGAATACTTTGGTTAGTATATATTTTCAAAATTCAAAAATTATTAAATGAAAAGGTCACAAATCGTTTGGCAAAGACTTTGAATAGCACAACACTGCCTCACCGAATCCTACTTTGAACTTAATTAGTAAAGTTGTTTCAGGTTTATGTTTAACTACTTAACCATATACTATATATTAAAATTACATACATATAAATATGGACAGTAATAAAACCAAGAGAGGTACGTATATAAACATTTGTATGTATATGTAGTTTTAAGAATAAGTATATTTGAGAGCTTTCCTGATATCTTTTAAAACAGCAATGAACTTTAGTTATGCATACGTCAATAATTTATTCACGAAATCAACAGCCCTTGAAACGAAAAATACTTATCGTTTTTATTGCCTAGAATGCAGCAAATAGAAAAATGTTTTATAAATTTCCTCATTAGAAATTTGAACTTTCCTTGAAAGCTGTTTAAGCAACACTTTAAAAAAATGTAAAAAGTCAGTTGTTCGCCATGCTTCTAGTGTGTTAGACGTACGTACATTCCAAGGGCCAAACATCGACTCGGACCACTATCCTGTTGCAGCCAGATACGTACCCGCCTCTGTTCAGCAAAAAATGTGCGCCCAACTATGCAAGGGAAAGCTTAATGTCGAAATGCTTCAATCACAACAGATGACCAATTTATTCGCCCTAGACTCACATACCTGATATCTGGGAGCAAACTTCAACAGACCGACGTACGCGAGCAGTGGAGCCACATTTCCAGCTCATTCCGGCTCTGCAATTCACTTCCGAGTGAATTTGAGTGAAGTTCGCTTTGAATTCAAATGGGCAGAGGTTGAAATTCACTTGGAAGTGAATTTCAGAACCAGCCCGATTAAGTACCGCCGCCGAAGAAATAGTCAGATTTCAGCGAGCCCGAAAGAACAACTGGTACGATGAGGAGCGTCAATAAGCGACAGAGAAAAAACTGCCGCCTATAGGGTAATGATTGGGCGCAACGCGATAGAGGCCGAAATACATGAGCGCCTAGAGCTTGAGATGCTGGCATGATATCAAGAACGTACTTAAATTATGGAAATAAAACTTTTCCATCCTATTGAATGCCAACAGTACTGAAAGTAGTGGTGAAGACGAACCCGAGCCCGCAGTCGATGATGACGGAGTCGACGTTCCACCGCCTGACTATGACGAGGTACGTATAGCAATAATGCGGCTGAAAAACAACAAAGCTGCTGGAGCCTACCAGCTGAGCTATTCAAGTACGGCGGCGAGGAGTTGATAAGGTGTATGCATCAACTCTTGTGCAGAATATGGTCAGATGAACGCATGCCCGACGACTGAAATTTAAATGAGCTCTGACCAATCCACAAGAAAGGCGACCAGGCCATACGCGCCAACTTATCGAGTGTATTGTGTGAAAGACTGAAGCTCACCGTCAATGAACTGATTGAATCTTTTTAGTGTGGCTTTAGTCCTGGCAAATCCACCATAGACCAGGTATTCACAATACCCCAAATCTTGGAAAAGACCCGCGAGAATAGGATCGACACACACCATCTATTTGTCGATTTAAAAGCCGCTTTTGACAGCACGAAAAAAAGTTGTCACTAATACGGCTGTGTAAAATGACGTTGGGCAATACCATCAGCTCCGTCAGAATTGGAAAGGCCATCTCCGAACCGTTCGCCACTAAACGGGGTTTCAGACAGGGCGACACACTTTCACTGTGATTTCATTAACCTGATGTTGGAGAAGATAATAAGAGCCGCGGAACTGAACCGCCCCGGCACACTAATTTGCAAGATCGTACAATTACTGGCGTATGCCAACGGTATCAATATTATCGGTACAAACAAGGGCAAAGCGAATGGGTCTGGTGGTGAACGAGGACAAAACAAAGTATCTGCTGTCATCATCTATAAGTAACTCATCATGCTTGTGCTGGTGTATGGCGCGGAGGCATGGACAATGAAAACATCTGATGAAGCGGCTCTTGAAGTTCTCGATAGAAAGATTCTGCGAAAGATTTACGGGCCTTTTCGCGTTGGCGATGGCGAATACCGCAGACGATTTAACGATGAGCTGTATGAGCTTTACAACGATATAGACAAAGTGCAGCGAATTAAAATTCAGCGGCTCCGCTGGCTTGGTCAGGTTGTTCGAATGGACAGAAACGCTCCTGCTCTGAAAGTATTCAACGCGGGCCGCAATGCTGGTAACAGAGGAAGAGGAAGGCCTCCTCTGCGTTCGAGAGACCAAGGGGAGAAGGACTTGGCTTCACTTGGTATTTCCAATAGGCGCCAGTTGGCACGGAAGAGAAAAGATTGGCGTGCTGTTTTGGACTCGGCCAAAACCGCTATGGCGGTTATAGCGTCAATAAAGAAGACGAAGAAAAACAACAAATTCAGAATACGCGGCTACTTCAAATTTTATTTTTTCAAATACGAGTATATTGACTCCAGCTGCAGTTAGTGATATTATTTTTTGGGAAATGTTCGAAATGTCAGAAAAAACTTTTGCCTATTAGCGGTCTCTCTCTCCGAAGGTAGTGGCGAACCTCCGGGTGTAAATTTGTCATGAAAAACCGTTCATAGAAACCTTTCGTCGTTATAAGGCGGCGTGAAAACGTAGGCATCTCTATTTGTGTGGCAACAGCAAAATGACGACCACAAAATTTATGTTTTGAAAATGAGCTAAATTTAACCTTAAATAGGTTTTTACAAATATGTTGACTCCAGGGCCTGCTATAGGATCTATAAGTTAGGTTAGCTGAAGTTAAGTCTAAACTATCTTCTGTTAGTGTTACCATAGGCCCACTTCAAGTGTGGTCTGCTTCTTTAGTTTTGGAGCCGCTTTGCTCTTTTGAGTAGAAGCCGAAGCTAGGAACTCTATTAATGTTATGTCCATGGTAAGTTATGGATCGTGTCTCTCTGCTCTTAGCTTTCCCCCGCTTTTTGCCGGTGGCAGCTATATATTTCTATCTTCTGGCGGCAGTGAGTTGCTGCACCCACTTCGTTCGAAGCATGAACGCAAAGACCGTCTTGAAACCGACTTAGAGGTACCTGAATTAGTTTTGCATTTATTATAACTGTTGACGTTGGCG